CCCCCTGCCTCCCCTCTCCTCTCCCTGGACGCTCCCCGCTTCCATTCCACCATCTGCTGGGCTCTCTTCCATAAATCGTTGGATAAGTGCCCGTTCTTATGAGATGTTGCCGTTTCGCCACGTGACCATAGTCTTATACATCCGGACGTGAAAGAAGATCCCAAACTCTCGCGATGCTGTTGCCCCCCTCCCCCCCCCCACTACATCCCTCTTTCTCCATGTCTCCCTTTAGTCTCGTGCGCAGATGTGTGCAGTCGCGCGCACAGTTTTGGGATCAATGCGGGGGCACGTGTGAGTCTGCAGACCTCGGCTGTGAGTGGTCAGACTAAACAATGGGCTCCACGGTATCTGTGCTCCAGGGCGGAGCCGGAGAAGATGCAATATTGACGCACAATTAAACACAATGAGAGCCGTATAGTTTATAACAGGCTCTCCCTGGATGTGATTAGTTGATGAGCAGCGTGAATGAATGGACAACTACCCCCCCCCCCAACCACCAAATCTCATTTATAAACTCAAAAACATAAAAAAAATTAGCACGTTGGGCTAAAATCGACTATTTACTTATAAATAAATAAATAATAATGAGAACTGACTGCATGACTTTGGTCGAATGTTTTGTTTAAATACAGTACGTGTTATTGCTATTATTATTATTTTACAGTTGAGATTTCAACAAAACTCACGAAAACATGAACATTTCTCACGTGGTCTTTTTGTATATTAAATTTGCAGCTTTCATACAGTATCTGTTCAAACGGCTTCATCATTCACTTCAAGTTGTTTTTCAGGACTTTAATGTGTGGTAAAATTTACTCGTTTCTTCTCTAAACTTCCCCATGTTTTTGAATGATCGTCTACATTTGAAGAACTGCAGCTCAATTGTTCCGTTCTTACAATGACAATCAATCATTTTGATGCTGATTCTGCACATTTAACAGTAAATAAAGCATGTTTTTCCAGGTGATCCCATATTTGACACATTCACATTCATCCCGACTCTGAGAGAACTCACTTTTTAAACCTGTTATTTTTCATTTATTTTTCTACGTTTCTGGACATCTAATACACATTTGTTTTTTAAATTTCCTAAAACAGAGACAACTATTTTTTATTGATTAAATAATTAAATTATTTTCGCGTCATAGAGAAGTAACGGTTTTAGAGAAACCCCGGTGTTAGGATTTCACCAGACTTTATTGGACTTTTTAAACCACCAGCCTCTTCATTATTGCGCCAATCCCGTCAATGGTCAATCGTTCCTCGGGGGCCAGAATATGGCGCAAAAAATGCGAGAAAACAATTGAATGGGTGAGTGGAGAGCGCACACCTGCTCTCTGTGCGCCAAGCTGTCAACATCACTTAAATGCGCAGACACGGAGGCGCGTCTCCCTGCGCTCTCACAGGTCCGGGACTGCGCTCTGTGTAATTAGGTGGAAAATTTCTAATCCAACCGACTAATGGAGAGACAGACAATCGATTAAGATAGTTAACACACGACATCAAAACACAACGCTGTTTCTGTTTCTTCTTCTTTTCTGCCTGCAGTGTAAAAATGTAGTATAAATGATACGGACCGGGTCTGATCTGATCTGTCAGAGCAGATTATTATAGATGGAATCAATATGGGAGCGAATCAACCATGAACCGCAGAGTAAATTCTTCATGAAGTATTCATTTCAAACGTGACAAGTGGAGTGTGTAAAAGAGCTGAAAGACACGTTTTATTTATTTCACAGGGACTCGATGCATTAAAAAGGTCTTTTAATAAATGCAACTGATACGATAACGGTTGGAAATCTGATTGATTGTTGACTCATCTGATACTGAAGAATCGACCAATAACAAGAGTGACTGGACTGAGTGGAAACAAGCGTGTGATTTTGTATTATTTATTCACATCCAAATTGAACATGTGTGAGAATTTAAAGATCTGCCCGGAAGTCTTAAAGTGTAAATTGATGGATAATCCCTGTCTCCGTTATACTGATGTCAAACATATGGTTCGGAGACTGATTGGAGACTCTTTTTTTTAATTCCGATTTCCAGCCGTATCTGATGCCCACTGGAAATCTGTTCTCATCATCATCATCATCATCATCATCATCACTGATGGCCTTATCTATTATCAACGTTTCCTCTCGCAAACGGTCACGTCATTCCTCCCATCTGTCGTTATTGGACCATGTCGTCTGCACGTGCAGCGGGCGGGCGCGCGCTCCCGGGTTATAAACTTGTGTCCACGCGACTGCCACGCGCGTGTGAATGAATGAGCTGATAGTAGGCGGGGCTTCACAATAAAGAGGCGGGGTTTACATCAGTGAAGCCAAAACCTGCGGCCGGGCGTTGAGTCAGCAGCAGATGAAACTTCCCTGCGTCCGCTCTGATGGATGTTTGAGGGAGAAGAGCTGAGGAGACCGGAGCAGGAAAAACCAACTCTTCTGTTCACAGCTGACGGAAACTTTGACACATTATTTCTTACAGAGCGACGAGTGACTCCAGAATTGGTGAGTTTAATTGAATTTGTTTATTTAAAGGACTAAAATGATTGGTTAAAAAATACGTCTTTGCTACAGGATCACTTATAATTAAATACTAATTCAATTTTCTTCTCCATTTGTAGAAACGTAACACATTCACGTGTTTATACAAGTGTTTTAACGAGGATATCAATCAAATGGTGCAACAGTGTAAACTGTAAACTAATTTATAAAAAAAAGCGTTTATATTATTATATCCCGTTAAAGGTTTTTCTAAAATTAACTGTACTAATTTATTATTATTATTATTATTATTATATAACAGAGTGTTAACTTTGAAGCAAATACATTCGTTTTTTATTATTATTATATAACAGAGTGTTAACTTTACATTCGTTTTTTGTTTTTTGCTATAAACAACACCAGATCCCAAAGACTTTTTTTTAATCCCGTGTTTTTATGCTGGGTAAATCCCATCGTGTCCCAGATTAACAGCGTCTCTAAAACAACCAGTGGAACTGTGTGAACTGTCCCTTTACTGCAGCTTCACACCAGTCTAATTCAAAGAAGGCTGAAAACAAGAATAGATTCAAACATAATATCCAACAGTTTACAGGAGGGAAAGTTACCACTGATAGTCTTTTAAATTTTAAAGGTCTATTCAATTTTTTAAAAATTGAAACGAAGTGAACATACAACAAACATCTTTAAATGTGTGACCTAAAACGACGTTCAACCTGATGTGACCAAACTTTGTACTTATCTAAATATAAGCTGTTCACGAAAGACTGTTTAAGTCCTCGTCATCACTTTAATGGCAGCCGTCAGTCAGTACTTCACACTCCTGATATTAGAGATCAAAGTTACAGTATGTGGTGTTTATTGATGAACCGAACATTAATTGACTGATTTTTTTTTTTCCGATCAAAATGATGAAAAAACCCTTCGGGGAGAGGGGTGTGAGTGACCTGGTCAGTTCCCTCAGTTGGCTGGAGGAGGACGCTAGCTCCCAGGACGGGGACGAAAGTCCAGAGATGAGACTCCACCACGGTCTGGGTGTTGGTGGTGAGATCCACTCCTGTACAGAACTTGGAAGTGAAGACATGGAGGAGGAAGAGGAGGAAGAGGAGGAGATTGGACCAAATGGAGAGAAGGGCCCCAAAAGACGAGGCCCTAAGAAGAAGAAGATGACCAAAGCCAGACAGGAGAGGTTTCGTGCCCGCAGGGTCAAGGCCAACGCAAGAGAACGTTCCCGCATGCACGGACTGAACGACGCCCTGGATAATCTTCGCAGAGTTATGCCGTGCTACTCGAAGACACAGAAGCTGTCTAAAATCGAGACTTTAAGACTGGCTCGCAACTACATCTGGGCCCTGTCGGAGGTGCTAGAGAGCGGCCAGTCTGCAGAGAGCCACGGCTTCGTGGAGATGCTGTGTAAAGGTCTGTCTCAGCCCACCAGTAACCTGGTCGCGGGCTGCCTGCAGCTCGGACCGAGTCCAGTGATGCTCAACAAGCTGGAGGACAAGTGCGGGGGCCCCGGGGTGGATGGTGTGGGGGGTCAGGTCGGTCATCCCCTCAGCTTCCCCTCACCAGGCCTTCCCAGCCCCCCATATGGATCCCTGGAGGCGTCCCACCTCCTGCACATGAAGGGTTTCAAAGGGCCTGTGTACGACAACCCCTCCTCAAATGAATGCAGCAGCGGCACCCCCCCCTACGACGGGCCACTCACCCCTCCCCTCAGCATCAGTGGCAACTTTGGCCTGAAGCAGGAGCCCTCTCCCCGCGATTCAGAGAGGAACTTTACGCCCCACCCCTCCCACCCGGCCCACTTTCTCTTGTCGCACCATTACCCCGCCTCCACGC